TGAGAGCTACTTGCCTTGTAACCTTACTTTGCAGATATCCCTCGTACAGTGCAAACTCTAACTTTCACCACAATGCCCAGTCAATGAGCTACTGACGACTGGCACTGCTCGTTTGCTTACACTGGCTTCCTGCTACACAGGAGTGATATCAACTTCTCCTGTGAAAATTCCCCATGAGAGCTACTTGCCTTGTAACCTTACTTTCCAGATATCCCTCGTACAGCGCAAACTCAAACGTTCACCACAATGCCCAGTCAATGAGCTACTGACGACTGGCACTGCTCGTTCGCTTACACTGGCTTCCTGCTACACAGGAGTGATATCAACTTCTCCTGCGAAAATTCCCCATGAGAGCTACATGCCTCGTAATCTTACTTTCCAGATATCCCTCGTACAGCGCAAACTCTAACTTTCACCACAATGCCCAGTCAATGAGCTACTGACGACTGGCACTGCTCGTTCGCATACACTGGCTTCCTGCTACACAGGAGTGATATCAACTTCTCCTGTGAAAATTCCCCATGAGAGCTACTTGCCTTGTAACCTTACTTTGCAGATATCCCTCGTACAGTGCAAACTCTAACTTTCACCACAATGCCCACTCAATGAGCTACTGACGACTGGCACTGCTCGTTCGCTTACACTGGCTTCCTGCTATGCAGGAGTGATATCAACTTCTCCTGTGAAAATTCCCCATGAGAGCTACTTGCCTTGTAACCTTACTTTCTAGATATCCCTCGTACAGTGCAAACTCTAACTTTCACCACAATGCCCAGTCAATGAGCTACTGACGACTGGCACTGCTCGTTTGCTTACACTGGCTTCCTGCTACACAGGAGTGATATCAACTTCTCCTGTGAAAATTCCCCATGAGAGCTACTTGCCTTGTAACCTTACTTTCCAGATATCCCTCGTACAGTGCAAACTCTAACTTTCACCACAATGCCCAGTCAATGAGCTACTGACGACTGGCACTGCTCGTTTGCTTACACTGGCTTCCTGCTACACAGGAGTGATATCAACTTCTCCTGTGAAAATTCCCCATGAGAGCTACTTGCCTTGTAACCTTACTTTCTAGATATCCCTCGTACAGTGCAAACTCTAACTTTCACCACAATGCCCAGTCAATGAGCTACTGACGACTGGCACTGCTCGTTTGCTTACACTGGCTTCCTGCTACACAGGAGTGATATCAACTTCTCCTGTGAAAATTCCCCATGAGAGCTACTTGCCTTGTAACCTTACTTTCCAGATATCCCTCGTACAGCGCAAACTCAAACGTTCACCACAATGCCCAGTCAATGAGCTACTGACGACTGGCACTGCTCGTTCGCTTACACTGGCTTCCTGCTACACAGGAGTTATATCAACTTCTCCCGCGAAAATTCCCCAGGAGAGCTACATGCCTTGTAATCTTACTTTCCAGATATCCCTCGTACAGCGCAAACTCTAACTTTCACCACAATGCCCAGTCAATGAGCTACTGACGACTGGCACTGCTCGTTCGCTTACACTGGCTTCCTGCTACACAGGAGTTATATCAACTTCTCCCGCGAAAATTCCCCAGGAGAGCTACATGCCTTGTAATCTTACTTTCCAGATATCCCTCGTACAGCGCAAACTCTAACCTTCACCACAATGCCCAGTCAATGAGCTACTGACGACTGGCACTGCTCGTTCGCTTACACTGGCTTCCTGCTACACAGGAGTGATATCAACTTCTCCTGCGAAAATTCCCCATGAGAGCTACATGCCTTGTAATCTTACTTTCCAGATATCCCTCGTACAGCGCAAACTCTAACCTTCACCACAATGCCCAGTCAATGAGCTACTGACGACTGGCACTGCTCGTTCGCTTACACTGGCTTCCTGCTACACAGGAGTGATATCAACTTCTCCCGCGAAAATTCCCCATGAGAGCTACATGCCTTGTAACCTTACTTTCCAGATATCCCTCGTACAGCGCAAACTCTAACCTTCACCACAATGCCCAGTCAATGAGCTACTGACGACTGGCACTGCTCGTTCACTTCCACTGGCTTCCTGCTACACAGGAGTGATATCAACTTCTCCCGCAAAAATGCCCAGTCAATGAGCTACTGACGACTGGCACTGCTCGTTCGCTTCCCTCGTACAGCGCAAACTCTATACAGCAGTGATACCGACTTCCCCCGAGAAACTTCCCCACGAGAGCTGTGTGCCTTGTAACCTTATTTTCCGGATAACCCCTGAACAAAGACAACAAAGCTATTCTATTCTCCTCCCATATCTTCGACCCATTCTTCAAACCTTCTTCTTACAAAATTCACACTTTTAACATCTCGACTCTTCCGTTGTGTGGAAATCTTCCCGCAAAGACACTCACCGAGGCTACAAAGAGGTCGCCGATCTTCTCCGCCGTGTCCCACTCCGCCACCCGGGAGGACAGGGCGATCTGGAACATGGAGTGGCACTGGAGAATCTCCTTGACCCGGAAGAAGACCACCTGGCACTTCCTGGCGCTGAGCACTTTGGGCTCCATCTCCATCAGAGGGTTCCTGTAATCCTGCGGGCAAAGGATTAAAAACAGTCCTACAAAGTCTCCAAAGATAGACAAATAAGAAGGTCATCGAGACATTTGCTGTAGCTAGCTAGGTATCCCTTCTTTACCTTTTGCATGACTGCATTTTTGTTTTGTTGTCACTCGGTTTACAGACACTATCTTGCCATCAAAAATGAGGCAAAGGTAGAATTTGAGAAGCCGAAAGGTTCCTTACCTGCAGGATGCGCCTCAAGGAATCGACGTAGCTCCTCTCGCTTTGCACAATAGAGCCGAGGATGTGCCGCCGAATGACCTGCGAGTGGCCCGCAAAAAAGATAAGACCAGTTAGGGAAGGAAAGAGGACAAGATATTTTGGAAATTGTCGAAAAATGCATCAGGTTGGATCTTCTGTATCTGAAATGGTCTTAGATTTTGGAATATTCGCATACACAGAACAAGATATCTTAATGATGGGATCCATGTCTAAACACAAATGTTTCAAAGGATACCACATCACCCACTACATAGGAAATCTGCTACAAAACAGGAGCTTTTTTGTTGAGTTCCAGGGCCAGAGAAGCAAATAGCGAAATCAGAATGACCTGCCTCAGGGGAGTGTGTTTCCTCCACCAATGTTTAACATCAACACAAAATGATCAGCCACTACCAGAAGGGACAGAGAGTTTCCTCTATGCTGACGATTGTGCCATCACCGCCCAAGCAGGAAGCTTTGAAATGGTTAAGCATAGAATCATAGAATCAAAGAGTTGGAAGAGACCTCATGGGCCATCCAGTCCAACCCCATTCTGCCAAGAAGCAGGAATATTGCATTCAAATCACCCCTGGCAGATGGCCATCCAGCCTCTGTTTAACAGCTTCCAAAGAAGGAGCCGCCACCACACTCCGGGGCAGAGAGTTCCACTGCTGAACGGCTCTCACAGTCAGGCAGTTCTTCCTCGTGTTCAGATGGAATCTCCTCTCTTGTAGTTTGAAGCCATTGTTCCCTTGCATCCTAGTCTCCAGGGAAGCAGAAAACAAGCTTGCTCCCTCCTCCCTGTGGCTTCCTCTCACATATTTATACATGGCTATCATATCCCCTCTCAGCCTTCTCTTCTTCAGGCTAAACATGCCCAGCTCCTTAAGCCGCTCCTCATAGGGCTTGTTCTCCAGACCCTTTATCATTTTAGTCGCTCTCCTCTGGAAGCTCTCCGAAGCTTTAGGTGCTCTTACTGCCTATTACAGGGAAAACCAGCTTGCTCCATAAGTGTTTATCATCTACCCAAATGACCAAGCCACTGCCAGAAGGGACAGAAGGTTTCCTCTATGCTGACGATCGTGCCATCACTGCCCAAGGAGGAAGCTTTGAAATGGTTAAGCAGAAGCTCTCTGAAGCTTTAGGTGCTCTTACTGCCTATTACAGGGAAAACCAGCTGATTCGTAATCCATCTAAAACGTAAATGTGTGCCTTTCACCTTCAAAACAGACAAGCATCTCGAGCTCTGGGGATGACCTGGGAAGGAATCCCACTGGAGCATTGCAGCACACCCAAATACCTGGGAGTCACCCTGGTCCGTGCTCTGAATTAGAAGAAACACTTCTTGAATATCACTGGAAATAATATCATAGGAAAGCTGACTGGCACAGCCTGGGGATCACAACCAGACACAGTGACGACATCTGCCTCATGCACAATGGAGTACCTTCTTATAGCAACATCAGAGGCACTCCAAGTGGTCAGCTTCTGGTCAAAGGACATTTAGTATATTACAACTGTACCCTCAGTTCGCTTTTGGCACGATAAATTAAATTAAATTTTCTGGCATTTCTCTCATTCTCTCGATTACTATTCATATTTTGTTGGAAAGATGTAGCAAGTGGTTCAGATTTAAGCTTTCTGTTTGTTCCTGAATCTCTTTGCATGCAAACAGGATCTGACCATTGGGAAACGAGCTGAGCTTGGACTTAACCAAAGGCAGCAATGCTTTTCCGGTTGCCACCACAAGACAATTTTAGAAACAGATGCCCTCTGTGTGTGTGCATTCATGTCATGACTACTCTCCACAGGAAACAGAGAGAGAGGAACCGTACTGTTACACGGGAAAGCCCACGAAGCTGAAGCGGAGAGAGGAAGAAGCAAAGAAGGGCAGGGAACTTGAATTGACTCTTTCCAAAACCCTTGGAGAGTGGGATCTTGCTCTCGAGAGGGCGTTCCTAAGCCAGGTGGCCACCACCGAGAAGGTCCTCTCTCTCATCCCTACCAGGAGGTGGGACTGAGAGGAGGGTCTCCTCAGCAGATCTTAGAACCTGTGTTTGTTCATAGAGGGAGATATGGTCAGAAAGATAGGCCGGACCCAAACCATATAGGGTAGTGTTTCTCAACTGGGGGGTCGCGACCCCCAGAGGGGTCGCGAGGGGATCAAGATAATTGATTTCATCACTCACTCTAGAACCTGTTTCAGACTTATGTACAAATTCAAAACACACAACCAATCTTGCCTGTATACTAATAGTGGAAGCTAAGCAGGGCCAGCCCAGGTTAGTACTTGGACGGAAAATGGAATCTATATAAATAAAAATGTAATGTTCGTTTGTGGTATTCACAGAACTCTCTCTGTCTCTCTCTCTCTCGCTCTCTCTCTCTCCTATTAACATCCAGACCGGGAAGTAGCTGCCTCTGCCACACTCCACTCCTTCTCTCCCTCACTCCCTTCCCTTCTTTCCTCCCTTTCTTCTTTCATTCCCCTTCCTTTCCTTCCCCCCTCCTYCGTTCCTGTCTCTCCCCCCTTCCTTCTCCTTAATTTCCTTCTTTCCCTCCTTCCCTTCCTTCCTGTCCCTTCTTCCTTTCCTCCTTCTTTCCCTTTCTTCATTTCCTTCCCCTTAATTTCCTTCCCTCCCTCCTTTCTTCATCCYCCTCCTTCCTCCTTCCTTCCTTCATTTTTCCTTCCTTCCTGTCCCTCCTTCTTTCCTTTCCTTCCTTCCCTTCTTTCCCTCCTCCCCTCCTTTTTCCTTCCTTCTTCCTTTCCTCCTTCTTTCCCTTTCTTCATTTCCTTCCCCTTAGTTTCCTTCCCTCCCTCCTTCCTTCATCCCCCTCCTTCCTTTCCCTCCTCCTTCCTTCCTCCTTCCTCCCTCCTTTCTTTCCTTCCTTCATTTTTTCCTTCCTTCGTGTCCCTCCTTCTTTCCTTTCCTTCCTTCCTTTCTTTCCCTCCTCCCTTCCTTTTTCCTTCTTCCTTCCCTTCTTTCTATGTAAGATATAAACACAATATTTTATATATTGTTATATAGATTACTATATAATATGTTACTATTATATATTATTACATAATACAAATTAAATAGACTTACAGAATAGAGTTGGAAGGGACAGTCAAGAAGTAGCGAGAGAAGGAGGGAAAGAGGAAAGGAATGAAGGGGGAAGGAGAGAAGGAGGGAAAGAAGGAAGGAAAGAAAGAAAGAATGGTAGAAAAGCAAGAAAGGAGAGGAGTAAATAAAAAAGTGAAAGGAAAAATACAGGCAAGGAAGGATGTAACCAAAGAGCAAAGAAAGGGAAAGATGGAAGAAAGAAGATGGAAGAGATGGAAGAAAGAAGAAGATAAATAGGAAGGGAAAGAAAAAGAGGAAAGGAAGGAGACCCAATTTCCTTTTGGCTTTATCAATAAACCATGGAACGACTAAGCAACCAACCTGTTGAGGACTTAGTCCTTCAGGCATTGGGCCCAACTCTGGAAGCAGCTGCTTCATATCCGTCTCCTGGACCTCCAGGAATCCCAACTCTTCCTCTTCGGAATCACCTGAGGAAATAAACAAGAGGGAAAGAGGGTCTCAGTTAGGTCAGGGAAACATTCATATCCCCTCCAAAGATTTGCCTAATCCTGACAGGGGTCTCTTCTCTAACAAGTGCTGTGACCTTCAGAAGTTCCGTTGAGCAGCACGAAGTTCACGAAACCCGTGTCTCCTATCAACCAGCTCATTATCTTGCAACTCATTCTTCTCTCTGAACTCATTTCCCTAGCAAATGACTCTCTTGGCACCTCTCTGGAATGTGACCTTCACGAACTGTTGGAGACACAGACTGCTCCCTTTCAGGACTTAAAATCTCATGTTGGCTCGCAGGACCGGGTTGTGGCACAGATGGTTGGGAAGTCAGCTGTATTAAAATCACTACTGAGTTCGAAGACAGCCTGGGTCGGAGGAAGCTCCCGACCATTTGTCGAGCTCGCTGTTGACTTTTGCAGCCCGAAAGACAGTTATTATTATTATTATTATTGTTACTAAACTTTATTTGTACCCCGCTAGCATCTCCCGAAGGACTCGATGCGGCTTACAAAGGCCAAGGCCTCAACACAACAACAAAAGTTGCATCTGTCAAGTAGGAAATTTAGGTACCGTTTATGCAGAGAGGCTAATTTAATTAATTTACGATGCCATAAAAATCTCCAGCAGCGTGTAAAAGAATGAGGAAGTACTCCATCGTTGTCACAAGTGGACGGTGAAGCGACACCTCCCCCAGTAGCCGGAATTTGAGCATACCGTCATGAAGCTGGAAAGTTAAATAGCCTCTGTTTGTTTATCTATGTTGTGTGTCTATGGCATTGAATGTTTGCCATGTGTATGTGTATTTTGATCTGCCCTGAGTCCCCTGCTGCGGGGTGAGAAGGGCGGAATGGAAATGCTGCAAATAAATAAATAAATTCTGGAACACAAGAGAGTATGGGAAGGCCTCAGTGTTAGTTTGCCTCAGCCTGAGAGAGCCCTCAGTGTGAGAAAGCCTCAGTAGGCCTCAGTATGAGAAGAGAAGCCCCAGGTGAGAAGGGCGGAATATACTGTAAATAAATAAATTCTGGAACACAAGAGAGTATGAGAAGGCCTCAGTGTTAGTTTGCCTCAGCCTGAGAGAGCCCTCAATGTGAGAAGGCCTCAGTAGGCCTCAGTATGAGAAGGGAAGCCCCAGGTGAGAAGGGCGGAATATACTGTAAATAAATAAATTCTGGAACACAAGAGAGTATGAGAAGGCCTCAGTGTTAGTTCGCCTCAGTCTGAGAGAGCCCTCAGTGTGAGAAGGCCTCAGTAGGCCTCAGTATGAGAAGGGAAGCCCCAGGTGAGAAGGGCGGAATATACTGTAAATAAATAAATTCTGGAACACAAGAGAGTATGAGAAGGCCTCAGTGTTAGTTTGCCTCAGCCTGAGAGAGCCCTCAATGTGAGAAGGCCTCAGTAGGCCTCAGTATGAGAAGGGAAGCCCCAGGTGAGAAGGGCGGAATATACTGTAAATAAATAAATTCTGGAACACAAGAGAGTATGAGAAGGCCTCAGTGTTAGTTTGCCTCAGCCTGAGAGAGCCCTCAATGTGAGAAGGCCTCAGTAGGCCTCAGTATGAGAAGGGAAGCCCCAGGTGAGAAGGGTGGAATATACTGTAAATAAATAAATTCTGGAACACAAGAGAGTATGAGAAGGCCTCAGTGTTAGTTCGCCTCAGTCTGAGAGAGCCCTCAATGTGAGAAGGCCTCAGTAGGCCTCAGTATGAGAAGGGAAGCCCCAGGTGAGAAGGGCGGAATATACTGTAAATAAATAAATTCTGGAACACAAGAGAGTATGAGAAGGCCTCAGTGTTAGTCTGCCTGGGTCTGAGAGAGCCCTCAGTATGAGAAGGCCTCAGTAGGCCTCGGTATGAGAAGGCCTCAGTGTGAGGGAAGCCCCAGGTTGAAGGCCATGATGTGTATCTGTGGCATTGAATGTTTGCCATGTATATGTGCATTGTGATCCGCCCTGTGTCCCCAGCGGGGTGAGAAGGGCGGAATATAAATGCTGTAAATAAATAAATAAATAAATTCTGGAACACAAGAGAGTATGAGAAGGCCTCAGTGTTAGTTTGCCTCAGTCTGAGAGAGCCCTCAGTGTGAGAAGGCCTCAGTAGGCCTCAGTATAAGAAGGCCTCAGTGTGAGGGAAGCATATATAAATACAGTAGAATCTCACTTATCTGACATCAATGGGCCGACGAACATCGGATAAACAAAAATGTTAGCTAATACGGAGTCTTCTATTCAAAGGTGCACAACAACAACAACGGATGTCTTTAAGCATGTTCTGTGTCTATGGCATTGAATGTTTTCCATGTATATTGTCATTGTGTTCCCCCTTTGTCCCTGGCGGGATGAGAAGGGCGGAATATAAATGCTGCAGATAAATAAATAAATAAATTCTAGAACAGAAGAGAGTATGAGAAGGCCTCAGTGTTAGTTCGCCTCAGTCTGAGAGAGCCCTCAGTGTGAGAAGGCCTCAGTAGGCCTCAGTGTGAGAAGGCCTCAGTGTGAGGGAAGCCCCAGGTTGAAGGCCATGATGTGTATCTGGAACACAAGAGAGTATGAGAAGGCCTCAGTAGGCCTCAGTATGAGAAGGCCTCAGTGTTAGTTTGCCTCAGTCTGAGAGAGCCCTCAGTGTGAGAAGGCCTCAGTAGGCCTCAGTGTTAGTTTGCCTCAGCCTGAGAGAGTCCTCAGAGTGAGAAGGCCTCAGTAGGCCTCAGTATGAGAAGGCCTCAGTGTGAGGGAAGCCCCAGGTTGAAAGCCATGTTGTGTATCTGTGGCATTGAATGTTTGCCATGCATATGCGCATTGTGAGCCGCCCTGAGTCCCCGGCAGGGTAAGAAGGGCAGAATCTAAATACTGTAAATACATACATACATACATACATACATACATACATACATACAGCAGAGTCTCACTTATCCGACATCAACAGGCCAGCAGAACGTCGGATAAACGAAAACTTTAGATAATACGGAGTCTCCTATTTGAAGGCGCACAACAACAACAATGGATGTCTTTAAGCATTTGGGATGCACATTTACATTGGTATCAACCACAACCATGGGCTAAACAACAACATTATAATTGAATTCTCAATTTGCTTCTGACACGATAAATAATCAAGGCGACTTATTTTTGAACGTTATTTGCAGCAATAGATGAAAGCTGAGAAACTGGGAGGAAGAAAGAGAAACCGGGACATTTCAAGATCACCCGGGAAAGTGGGATGACAGAGGAGGAATAGACTGAAATGATTGGGGGATCTGAAAGCACGGACCGCTCCGTACGACCCACACTGTGAGAGCATTCGAAGTGAGTCAGCAGATGGAAGGGAAAATGGATGACTCAAGGAACTGAGCCAAGCCGCATGCCTCGCCCTCCAAAGCCAAACAAACCCTGGAGCAGCTGGCCCGGAGGAGACAAATGCTTCCCCTTCCCCAGCGCAGAGCGCCGCAACCCACCCACTGAGTCATCCCCAAAAGGAAACATCACGGGACTTGATTCAACACTGTGTTGACAGGTTGGGGGATATTATTATCGTGGTTGCTGCCATTAGTCTCCACTTTCCTCTCTACAACGAGACTCAAAGTGTTGTCGAAGGCTTTCATGGCCGGAATCACTGGGATGCTGTGAGCTTTCCAGGCTGTATGCCCATGCTCCAGTAGCATTCTCTCCTGACGTTTCATCTGCACCTGTGGTTGGCATCTTCAAAAGTTCTGTTGGCAGTAAAGCAAGGGGAGTGCGTGTGTGTGTGTGTGTGTGTATGTATGTGTGTGTACATATATATATATATATATAATTGCAATAGTCACACTTGCAATGAGCAAGCTTGAATTGCATTAAGTAGCCATTAAGTTTGCAAAGTCAGTCAAGGAGGGTCTCTGCATGGAGGTAGCCTGGCTGTTGTTGCCTGGAGCCACCCTCTGTTTGAGAAGTGTAGTGTGCATTGCAACGTTCACACTTGCAATGGGCAAGCTTGAATTGCATTGAGTAGCCATTAAGTTTGCATAGTCAATCAGGGGTAGTATTTGTGCACAAGGAGCCTGGCTGTTGTTACCTGGAGGCACCCTTTGTCTGGAAGGTATGAATTGCAGCATTCACACTTGCAATGAGCAATCTTGAATAGCATCGGAGTAGCCATGAAGCTACAAAGTCAATCAGTGAAGGTATATGTATAGAGGGAGCCTGGCTGTTGTTGCCTGGCGGCACCCTTTGTTTGGAAGGTATGAATTGCAGCATTCACACTTGCAATGAGCAATCTTGAATAGCATCGGAGTAGCCATGAAGCTATAAAGTCAATCAGTGAGGGTATATGTATAGAGGGAGCCTTGCTGTTGTTACCTGCAGGCATCCTCTGCTTGGGAGGTGTTAGTTACAGCATTCACTCTTCCTATGAGCAAGCTTGAATAAATAGCACTGAGTAGCCTTGAAACTGTAAAGTCAATTAGTGAGGGTATTTGCATAGAGGAAAGCCTGGCTGTTGTTGCCTGGAGGCACCCTTTGTTTGGGAGGAGTTAATTGCAACATTCACACTTCCTATGAGCAAGCTTGAATAAATAGCACTGAGTAGCCGTGAAACTGTAAAGTCAATCAGAGAGGGTATTTCATAGAGAGAGCCTGGCTAATTTTGCCTGGAGGCAGCCTCTGTTTTGGGGGGCATTAATTGCAACAGTCACAGTTGCAATGAGCAAGCTTGAGTAGCACTGAGTAGCCATGAAGTTTGCAAAGTCAGTCAGGGAGGGTATCTGCATATAGCTAACTTGGCTGTTGTTGCTTGGAGGCACCCTTTGTTTGGAAGGAAGGAATTGCAACATTCACACTTGCAATGGGCAAGCTTGAATAGCACTAAGTAGCCATGAAGTTTGCAAAGTCAATCAGGGAGGGTATCTGCTTGGCTGTTTTTATTATATATTCTAATAGTATGTATGTATACGGCGGTGTTTCCTTCTGCTTTCTGATTGGCTGCCACTATATAGTGTTTGTATGT